TATATATATATATATATATATATATAATATAGTGATAATCAATTACAAATTATATGAAATATTGATATTTAAACTATTTACATGTGTCACGGTTGAATTATTATTAATTTAATAAAAATAAAATAAAAATATGGATAGATACGGTGTTATTTGAGCAAGAATTTGAATGAAAAGATGATTAATTTGTAAATAACAAATTTGTGGTGAACCGTTTAAAGTTGCCCCGAATTAGGGATAACTACTAGGGATGGTGTGTGTATATGTGAAGGAAGGATATCTAAATTTTATCGGTTAACTCATTTGACGGATCGGCTAATGTTAGTTTCAGGAGGAAGTCCCTCCGGGGAACCCGTCAAGTGTCTCGAATTTAGGTTTTGCCACGAGTCCCAGGGGCAATTTTGTCCTCTCGGATCAGACTTCAGAGACGAGCGAAGCCAGCTAGAGTTGGAAAGCTCCTGGAAGGCTGCAAAGCGATCCGAGGGAAACACCTCGCTTCCTCCGAAAAGTTAAAGAGCCGTCTCGCTGGAGAGTCAGCAGTCAGGGCGTTTTAACTTGGAGGAGAGACGACGGCATTTGATCTCGGCACATCCGTGAGATTTGTGGGATCACGTAGGATTTCTAGGTTTTGGTGTATTGGTGGAGTAGATTTGTATCGCTTGATTTGTTAGCGGGCGCACCGAGGAATTTGGTAAGTGTTTTGGTTTTGAGCATTCAATTTGGGTATTGTTAACACCGGGGTGATGCTTGCATGTTTTGATTTCAGAATGATGGCGTCGTGAGTCTGATGGATTCTACCAGAAGCTGGTTTAGGAAGTTACAGCAAAGAGAGGGTAAAGTGAAGCCTGTTGTTTCGAAGAAAAAGGAAATGGAGAGCATGATTGATGCTCAGAAGCCCCCAATAGATGAGGCCCCTCCTTCGGAAATAACAAAGCAGCGGGTTGCGGCTGCCAAGCAGTTTATAGAGAATCACTACAAGAATCAGATGAAGAGCTTGCAGGAACGAAAGGAGAGGTATATGCTCTTTCGAAACTAAGCTATTTTGGCTCTGTTTTTTTAAATTTTGGATCGCGATCCTTGAAGTGGAAAGACTAATAATGTTTTACTTTTCACGCTATGCTGAGCCTTTAGAACAGTTTAATAAATGTCTGTTTTTGATGGGATTAATGACATTATTCTATCATAGCTGCATAAAAGTTCAGATATTTTAATGGTCTTTTGGTTCGAAAGCTGTGAAAGAACCTACTCATCATATTATTGATTAAAAAGGCTGCATGCGTGATTTAATAATTTGATATTTGATATATATTCTGAATAAAACATAAAAATTCCTATTATTGAATCCAACTTTACCCGTGGGTAACATATAAAATTTACTAATAGGACTCATAAGACACAGAGCAAGGAAGTAGAGATAAAGAAGAAATTTTGAGAACTTAGAGAAAGTTGCTATGGGATTTTATTAGATTGCTAAAATTATAATTCTAGAGTACAAATGACTAGATGTGTCAGAGCTCTCCTCCCTTAACACCCCATTTATATTGTTGATTGGCGGAAGTTACAGTTGAATATATGCTGACAATTTGTTAAAACTATATATGAGATGAACTCACCATCTTACCGGATTAAAGGCTGGTTGTGGCTTCCAAGCTTGTATGAGTTCGCAAGACTTGTGGCGTGCCCAAACATGGTTTCTCCAGCTCAGGCAATGGTGGTCATGTCAAATTCTAACAAATTCATTGAATTTGATGAATCCTGATGATGACAAGTTCATGCTAAGCTTGACGAGTTTATGTTAATCTTGCTGAATTCAACTTGATTCGAGTGTGTTCATGCTAGATCTAGAATATTGGATTGGTTTGGTTTGAACCGCGATCATGATTGATGAATGTATATTTAGCCCCTTGATTTTCTTGTATTTTGGAAATGTGACTTGTAAAAAGAACAGTAGAATTAGATAAAATATTATTTTATTAAATTGAAAAATGTTGAAGGATATATTGTTTTGATGAGCATTCACATTGATAATGATGCCAATTCATCACTTTACTTATCACATTGATTTGACTAGGGTACATGTGGGGACTGATATTAGTTTATCAATATGAGCTGGGCTTCATTATTTGAGGATTAATTCACTCTATCATCTGCCAACTTTGGATTGCTCTGCAACTCCTACTCTTCTAGGTTCAAATGGATAATATCCATCTCATAAAACCTGGCGATGTACCCAACCAAAAGCTACTTCAAAATATCATTGAAATACAATTCCAAACAATCTGTGGAGAGATAGAAATCATGAAATTCTATTAAGATGTCTGTAAGAATGATTAGACTGGATGAAGGTTCAAATATTCATCTCATGGAGCTTGGCGATGTTCCCAACCAAAAGCTACTTGAAAATATCATTAAAAAAAATTCCAAACAATTTGTGGAGCAATAGAAAGGATGATATTCTAGTAAGCTGCTTGTAAGAAAAATGAGATTGGATGAAGGTGGGGTCGAGCATGGTAATAGAGGATCCCACTATAGTCACCGTTAAGTGAACTTTATAATAAAATAGATACTAGAGATTATGAAAAATATGTATAAACTAGTCAAACGAAGAGAAAAGAAAAGTGAAGATTTAATTCAAGTAAAGTGTATTAAAGAGGAAAATCAAAAGGTATTTTTCTTATAGGAAGATATTCAACATAGGTGGGCGTGCTATTTTGATAAATTTTTCAATGAAGTTTCTGAAAATACGATTGACTTTTCAATGAAGTTGAGGAGGCTTTAAAGAAAAGTAATGATGAAAAATCAGTAGGAATTGATGATATTCTAATTGAAGTGTGAAAATTTTTAGGAGATTTGAGAGTTTCTTGACTTATTGAACTCTTTAATATTATTTTAAAAACTAAAAAAAATGTTTGAGTAGAAGAATATTATTTTGGTCCTTATTTTTAAGAATAAAGGGGTGCACGAGAGTGTGCCAGTTATAGAGGAATCAAGCTGATGTGTCATACTTTAAAATCATTGGAGAGTAATATTTTAAGATATGATATAAAGATTTCTCATAATTAATTTGAATTTATGCCTGACAGGTTTACTAATGAATGTTATACATTTATTGAGAGGTTTGATGGAGAAGTACAAAAATAATAAGGAGTATCTACGTACGATTTTTATTGATTTAGAAATTGCTTATGATAAGGTTTTAAGAGAAGTTCTTTGGAGAGTTCTAGAGAAGAAAACTGTTGATTTGATTTATATTCAAGTCATTTAAGATGTGCATACTAGAGCTATTACTTGTGTTTGAACAGAAGGACGATTGACTAAGTATTTTCCTACTTCAATTGGATTACATCAGGGATCGGCTTTAAGCACATATTTTTTTGCTTTAGTTATGCATGCTCTTATTGGACATTTACAGGAGGATGTACCTTGTTGTATGCTTTTTTCTAATGATATCCTTCTTGTGGATAAGACTTGAGAAAGAGAATTATGGAGGTCTACATTAGAGTCTAATGGCGTTCGTTTGAGACTTTGAATGGATCTAAAATTGAATACATTGAATATAATTTTAATAGCAGTAGCTCTACTGGCAGAGTTGTTACTATAAGTGGTCAAATCATTAAAAGTTGTGATCGTTTTAGATATCTCGGGTCTATAGTTCAAAGTGACGTTGATATAAATGGGGATGTTATGAGTAGAATTCAAGTTGGTTGGTTGAAGTGGAGGAATCAGGCCCATTGTGTGATAGAAAAGTACCACTCAGACTGAAAGGATAATTTTATATGATGGTGGTGAGACCTGCAATGTTCTATGGCACAAAATGTTGTCCTTTAATAGAGAAGCATAAAATAAAGTTAGTGTTTCTAAGATGAGAATGCTTAGGTGGATGAGTGGCTTGACTGACAAAATACAAAATGAATATATCCGTGATAGAGTTGGCGTAGATTAGAGAGAGTTGTCTTAGATGGTTTTGTCACATTAAACGCTGCCGTCTGATGATCCTGTTAGGAGAGTAGATGTTTTAGACTCGACTTATGTTAAGAATGATAGTGGTAGAACTAAAAAGACTTGGGCAAATTGTATAAAAAATGATCTTAATCTATTAGACTTAATTGAAAATATGACACTCGATAGGATACAACGAAGAAAAAAGATTCATGTAGCCGACTGTACTTAGTAAGATAAATGCTTGTTGTTGTTGTTGTTATTTGACCCATTTGTTTATTTATATTTATACATCTGATACATTTTTCCTACAATCTTTTTTAGGGTAGACCATGCCACAACTTGATTTGAGAGCTTGAAAATACCAAATGGTCGAACATAATTTAAATTAGGATTAACTACTCTTGATTAATAACATAATAAAATCTAGTAATATTTTATTGATATATCAAAATAAAAAAGCCATGTCTATGAAATCTAAATCATAGATGCAAGAAGATTACTTTTCTCTTTTATGTCCACGCTATGAGGTAGCTTTTTTTTCACCCACTTATTTTGTCCCTCTTTTTCAATTTTGAATTTTTAATTAAAGAACAAAATTGTTGTCAGCGTAACAATATGTCTATATTATAATTTTAGATCAGAGTAATTTGGAGAAAAGATAAAATCATGACAATTATTTTAAGCTATGTAAAACATTATATAATAACCTGAATATTTGAATTATAATTATGAATAAAAATGTTGTCTAAAAATTAAACTTAAATATGAATGTGCAACCATTACTTCCATCTTTATTTTTATTGTGTATAATCATACAATTTTTTATATATTTAACTTAGATTTTTTTATAAATTAATTCACTCATTTTTAGAACACTATCTAAACATAATTTACCCCTAATTGATACATTCTCTATCAATATTTTTGGGTCGTAAAACTTTTGCTATTGGTTGGTGTGGAGTATATCAATTCAACCGCGACTTATATATCACCTATAGATACAACATTTTATGGTTCTTATTTTTACTATTATTTGATTTGAAAGGTAAATCATAAATACACGGGTATATTAGCGTTTGAAACTAGTATTATAAGGATATTAATTTCTTCTGTCAACATGCATATACATACATTCAAAAAAAAAAATTTGTTGTTTCATTTTCATTCTTTTTAACATATACTGATATATATATATATATATATATATATATATATATATATATATAAATAGAAATTGCTTATGATAAGGTTTTAAGAGAAGTTCTTTGGAGAGTTCTAGAGAAGAAAACTGTTGATTTGATTTATATTCAAGTCATTTAAGATGTGCATACTAGAGCTATTACTTGTGTTTGAACAGAAGGACGATTGACTAAGTATTTTCCTACTTCAATTGGATTACATCAGGGATCGGCTTTAAGCACATATTTTTTTGCTTTAGTTATGCATGCTCTTATTGGACATTTACAGGAGGATGTACCTTGTTGTATGCTTTTTTCTAATGATATCCTTCTTGTGGATAAGACTTGAGAAAGAGAATTATGGAGGTCTACATTAGAGTCTAATGGCGTTCGTTTGAGACTTTGAATGGATCTAAAATTGAATACATTGAATATAATTTTAATAGCAGTAGCTCTACTGGCAGAGTTGTTACTATAAGTGGTCAAATCATTAAAAGTTGTGATCGTTTTAGATATCTCGGGTCTATAGTTCAAAGTGACGTTGATATAAATGGGGATGTTATGAGTAGAATTCAAGTTGGTTGGTTGAAGTGGAGGAATCAGGCCCATTGTGTGATAGAAAAGTACCACTCAGACTGAAAGGATAATTTTATATGATGGTGGTGAGACCTGCAATGTTCTATGGCACAAAATGTTGTCCTTTAATAGAGAAGCATAAAATAAAGTTAGTGTTTCTAAGATGAGAATGCTTAGGTGGATGAGTGGCTTGACTGACAAAATACAAAATGAATATATCCGTGATAGAGTTGGCGTAGATTAGAGAGAGTTGTCTTAGATGGTTTTGTCACATTAAACGCTGCCGTCTGATGATCCTGTTAGGAGAGTAGATGTTTTAGACTCGACTTATGTTAAGAATGATAGTGGTAGAACTAAAAAGACTTGGGCAAATTGTATAAAAAATGATCTTAATCTATTAGACTTAATTGAAAATATGACACTCGATAGGATACAACGAAGAAAAAAGATTCATGTAGCCGACTGTACTTAGTAAGATAAATGCTTGTTGTTGTTGTTGTTATTTGACCCATTTGTTTATTTATATTTATACATCTGATACATTTTTCCTACAATCTTTTTTAGGGTAGACCATGCCACAACTTGATTTGAGAGCTTGAAAATACCAAATGGTCGAACATAATTTAAATTAGGATTAACTACTCTTGATTAATAACATAATAAAATCTAGTAATATTTTATTGATATATCAAAATAAAAAAGCCATGTCTATGAAATCTAAATCATAGATGCAAGAAGATTACTTTTCTCTTTTATGTCCACGCTATGAGGTAGCTTTTTTTTCACCCACTTATTTTGTCCCTCTTTTTCAATTTTGAATTTTTAATTAAAGAACAAAATTGTTGTCAGCGTAACAATATGTCTATATTATAATTTTAGATCAGAGTAATTTGGAGAAAAGATAAAATCATGACAATTATTTTAAGCTATGTAAAACATTATATAATAACCTGAATATTTGAATTATAATTATGAATAAAAATGTTGTCTAAAAATTAAACTTAAATATGAATGTGCAACCATTACTTCCATCTTTATTTTTATTGTGTATAATCATACAATTTTTTATATATTTAACTTAGATTTTTTTATAAATTAATTCACTCATTTTTAGAACACTATCTAAACATAATTTACCCCTAATTGATACATTCTCTATCAATATTTTTGGGTCGTAAAACTTTTGCTATTGGTTGGTGTGGAGTATATCAATTCAACCGCGACTTATATATCACCTATAGATACAACATTTTATGGTTCTTATTTTTACTATTATTTGATTTGAAAGGTAAATCATAAATACACGGGTATATTAGCGTTTGAAACTAGTATTATAAGGATATTAATTTCTTCTGTCAACATGCATATACATACATTCAAAAAAAAAAATTTGTTGTTTCATTTTCATTCTTTTTAACATATACTGATATATATAATGTAAATTAATTTTATTTTGTCATGTAATTTAACACATACACCAATCAAAACTCATTGTTTATGCTCATTTTAAAGTTGTCGACTTTGAGCACAGGCATAATCACATTAATCAACACAGCGTTTGTGATTTATCCTTCTGATTGGATTGATCGAATTGAGCATGAATGGTCTCTTTTAAATTATAAGGAATATAATCCACTTAATTTAGGTGTTGGATACTAGACAAAGGTCAACGAAATCATGTTTTTAAAGGTTGATAATCTTCCCCCAAAGTTCAGCATTCAGACGGAACTCTCCGAGGAATGGAGGAATTTTATGGGAAGTTGCATAAAAATGATAAAATTGTAAACCCTGTCATGGTAAGTTAATGATATCTTGGTGGATGAGAGTTTGTGCTGTCACATGTAAGATATTAGTGTAGCGATGGCAGCTAAGTGCAGACCTTTTTGTTTGGTTTTGACCAACTGGTAATTTTTAATTGCTTATTTCTATCATTGATGAAGGCTCGTGAAAAATGATTGGAGGACATTGGTTTGCCAACGAGGTGATGAAACTTTAAGTTATCGTCAAGGACTAAATATGTGTTATGATCTCTAAAAAATGGCATCTCAAACAAGCAATTTTAACTGTCCATCATTGTATAATTGAACCAGCCACATAAAATATAGTGATATTTATATTTTTGTAATTATGATTAATGAATAACATCTAGAACTTAAATCTGAATGATGCGCCCATTCTGAAATGGTCAGTCTCTGGGTGATGAGGCCTTTGAATGCCTTGAAAGGAGAAGTATATATTTATGTTTTACAGTGATCTTATTTTGAGTCCATCAAGCATCTTCTAATTCCTTTGTACCTTTATAAATTATCTTACATTTACCTATCAAAATCAAACACATAAATATCATATCATTAGCTAGAGTTTTCAAAGTTTAATGGTTAATATTCCATTCTTTTATTTTCTAGTACAAAGATGCCCACATTGTTGTGGTCTTGTGGAATATTCTTTAGTGTTAAATGTATGGTTCGTAAAATAGGAAACTTCTTTGTTATTTGTTTTAATTAGTGGGCTGTTCAACATAAATATCATGATAGGAAACCCGCTCCCCAATACACATAAAATCACACTTAAATCAGTTAATTTCATTTGATAAATTTTAGCGAGAACTGATCTTCAAGGTAAAATACATAGCTAATATTTCAATGTGTTTTTTTGTCTTATCTATCTTTTCTTATTCTTGGTTATTTATTTTGCTGTGAGTAGAAGGTGGATCTTAGAGAAGAGGCTTGCTGATGCGGACATTTCGGAGGAAGATCAGAACAATCTAATCAAAGATTTAGAGAAGAAGGAAACTGAATTGATGCGTCTCCAGAGGCATAAAATGGGAGTTGAAGATTTTGAGTTACTGACAATTATTGGACGTGGGGCTTTTGGAGAGGTTTGTAGTTGTGACGAAGTTGAACTTTCTTCATTGTGTGATTGCATAGAATTTTTACAATGTTTCATCTTATGAATGCTACTTATCAATTGCTTTAACATAATTTTTGTGAGTAACATTCCATATCAGACAACTCATAAAATGTTCAGTGCTGTCCAACTTATTATACCATTCTATACTTTTATAATTAAAGTACCTCCAAAATTTGAATATTGACTTCTTCCTTACGTTGATTTGGGATTGTAGTCTACGGTAAGATGTTGTTATTTTTGTAATATTAACTTCTTATTAATGCATGCGTGTGTTTATGTGTGTTTTGTGCCTTTTAGAGCATGTACAACTCTATGGATTTGGTTTTCAAAAATTCATTTCTAACATTCACATGCATAACCTCATTTTTTTAGAAATAAAGTTTTAAAATACGTTGAAGTTTTTTGGGTTTTATTCTGAAATTTATGGTTTAAGATCTTTGCTATTATTGGGGATTTCTCCCATTTCTTTAATGAAATCAATGTCTACTGCCACTTCTTCTAGAATTCTACAGATGCTGTTACTCGCTAAAATCTTGTGATGTAAAAGGGGTTATGAAAGTTTAAAAGGTGTCATTTTTCTGGATCATTAGTTATTTCAAAGTGCAAGAAAGTTTGGTCATTAATCAAAGTTTTAAGGGATGCTTACTCTTATAATTTTCAAATTGCAAAAAAATTGCTGTTAATTTATATTTTATTTTATATAGTAGTAATGCCTTTGGAACTTTGGCTCTAATGTTGGGTGTTTTGCAGGTAAGACTTTGTAGGGAGAAGGCCACTGGGCATGTTTATGCTATGAAAAAGCTCGAGAAATCTGAAATGCTTCGTAGGGGACAGGTCATACATTATGGTTTTATCAATTTCATTTTTACTCGTGTTTTCTGACCATTTTGTTTTCTGCCAGGTTGAACATGTAAAAGCTGAAAGGAACCTTCTTGCAGAGGTTGATAGTGATTGCATAGTCAAGCTTTACTATTCTTTCCAGGATGATGAGTTTTTATATCTCATAATGGAATATCTTCCTGGTGGGGACATGATGACTTTGTTAATGCGTAAAGATACATTGACAGAAGAAGAGGCCAGGTTTTATGTTGGCCAAACTGTTTTGGCAATCGAGTCAATCCACAAACATAAATACATTCATAGGCATGATATACCTATTTTCAATTGAATAGTCTTTTAAGTAAATCTGCTCGCTACCTGACTATGCTAACATATACAATTTTTTCTTTTATGATAGGGATATTAAGCCTGACAACTTGCTACTTGACAGAGATGGCCATATGAAACTATCAGATTTTGGACTGTGCAAACCCTTAGATTGCAGCAACTTTCCTAATTTAAGCGAACCTGACTGTACATCTGGTGCTATTTCCAAGCCCATTTTAGATGGTGAGAAGACTTTTAACAGCATCCCTGTTGCACAGAGAACCCAACAAGAGCAATTATTGCACTGGCAAAAGAACAGGAGAATGTTGGTAAGTGAAACTTTTCTTTTTCAACCTTTTGAATCATAGGACAAGAGTATCTTGCAAGATTTCTTTTGAAAATGTACTTAATTTTATAGTAATCAAGAAGCGTTTTAGTTATAGATGCTGCAAACAGTATATGATCCATGAATTTGTTCATTAATGACTAGATGCCTCAAATGATCTACATGTTAGTTGATTAGATGATTGGAAAATGTCCGCTCGAGCTGTTTTCTATGTACCTCAAAACTCTTAAACCTAATAGCTACCCTTGAGGTTATTGGCATTTGGCGAAATTTTTGATGCTCAAGTCTGCTCATTATGACTAAATAAATCAACTAAGACTAAGAGGAGAGCCTCTGCCAAAATTCTTTTTCTATGTACTTCATCTTTGAGTTGCGAGGATGCAAAATGTGAAGAATGAGGTAGAGTAGCACTTGAGGCCTATTTGTATGTTAGTTTAAGTAGGATCACCAAAGGTGTATAAGATATTGAGCTTACAAAGCTGGTACCTTGTTGACCTACAAAGTTACGCAAATGATCTAATAATGTAGCTCCAGTGAAATTTATGGATAATCATATAATGACTGGGATGCTTATGGGCTCCGAAAATTCGACACTCGGACTTTAGTTGTTGAGTTGAGAGCTTTTATATTTGTTCCTAGCCAAATTTTCAGAAGGTAGACTGGATTGTAGATAAGACATTACTCTGAGATTTTACCCTTGTTTTGCAAGGATTTTTTCATATGGGGTTCGAGTTTTTCCCTTAGGCGCAAGCCCCTATGGTTAATTATCTTCCCGATGATAGGAGAACACTTTCGATTAAGGTTAGTCATTTAGTATTGAATATTCAACTTATAGTAGCAGCATACATATAGTTTTATATTATAAAATTTTATCATCTTAAGCTTAAAGTGAATGCAAAAAAATGATGATCAACCCGATTCATGCTTCCGTCATCCTGTGTTGTCATGGTCCCCAATCTACTTAGTCAGAGGAGATAGTCAATCCAAACCGACTGATTAAGATATCATGTTTCTGTCATCTTGAGTTGTCATGGTCCATGATCTACTTAGTCACAGGAGATACTCAACCCAAACAAATTCATGAATTCTTGTCAGCAATCATGGACTGTGTCGTCCAAGTGTTCATTGTAAAATTGGGGTGGATGTTTGTTTAAGGAAGCAAATTTAAGTTTGACTTTTGCTAATAGAGGTTTTATGCCAATCAAATTTACTCTTATAATTCACAACTCAAAAGGTAGAAACCCGTTTGAGAATAAACGGGCTACAACTGTAACTATAATTTAATGTCATTTAGTGACAACCATATGGGTAGAGGGCTCTAGTTATAATTGTTATTTTTTTGTAGAGCTTTGAGTCAAATCTCACTAACAAGAGACTCAGGCCACATCCATATTGTAGTGAAATTACTTTGACTGTTAATATAATGATACACTTGATGTGACATTCACTATATATGAGCTTGAATCAATGATAAGTTTGCCACCCTTGACAAACTGTTACGGAGGGTGGATGAGATTTGTTTTAAGTCTTTTAAGCGATTAATTTTAATCTAGATGCTTTAGTTCAGTATTTTGAAAAGTTGATTTAAAAATTGATCACCTGGTTGAAATCATTTATCAACTCGGCCATCATCGGGGAGTTGGACATTTGAAACACCTAGGTTTGAAATTCAATTGAAATTTGGCACTTGAATATCTATAAGATGTTAGTCCTTCTCAAATTCAGTCTTGATTAGGTAATTTGGACTCGCAAACCCTTATACTTTTGATTTTGATATTTTCTCTAGATTATTAGGCTCGTTAACTTCATTCCTTAAGAGAAGTATGATCGGACTAGTTTAATGAGACTTATGAACCTATCATATAGACAAGGCGGTTTGATTAATAGATTTTCTTAAAAAAAGTGAGATTAATCAGAGTGAAAAATTTATTCAAACCCATGCAACATTCTCCGATTCTTTAAATTTAAACATTTATATAATTCAATGGAATACATGCAGGTGTTCAATTTTGTTAACTAGGATCATTAAAAGTACTCGACATATTTTTCAAAGCATTCACATGATAAATTTACATACTTCTTAATGCATTTACATAACTTGAAAAAACTCACATAACTATTTGAGAAGTTTGTGATCCGCTCCCATGAGTACCAATGTATTGCATCTAAACATCTTAAAGCTCATGAATTACATTCAAAATTTTGAAAGTCTAAGTGAACATTACAATTTTGGAATGCATACACGGTTTCATTTTGAGTTTTAAAAAAACCTCCTTTTATTTACTAGCAGATATACTACAAATCCGGTGGTGAAAAATGATATCCCATATTTGGACTAAATTGAAAGCCATCATAATTTATACTTTAAATAACTTGAAATTATGCTTAATCCATATGTTGAATTATTTGCAAGTCTCCATTTGCCCAAAATTGAATTGATTTTTAACCCTATGAGACGAAGTTTGAAAAACCCAATTTTAACTTAATTTTTAAGCCCATTGGAGCTTAGGTTTGAAAATTTTCAATTTTAAATTAGTATTCAAATCCTAGAAACCTAAGTTTGAAAAAGCCCAATTTTAATTTGATTTTAAATCCTAAGAGCCTAACATTGGAAAGCCCATATTTTAAATATTTTTGTAAATTAAAAAAAACACAAAATTGAATATTTTTTTGCAAATTTAAGTATTACACATTTGAATTCATTTTAACAATCCAAATAGTTCAAATTTAAGTTTTCCACATTTGCAATCATTTGCAAGTCGAAATTCACATAAATTTGTTTCAGGGATGTTGGGAGAATGCTAGCCTGCTCAACTGTTTATAAGATGCGCTGGTCAGTGTCAAGAGACATTGTGGCCATAGAGCAAAACATAATATTTTAGCCCACAGTCTGTAAGACATTATGGGCATTCAATGTACCTGGAAAAAAAGAATCAAAAGTGTAATTTTTCTAGAATAATTACTTTACTTTTTTAAATAATATTTAATTTCTTAAACATGAACTCACGTTTCTCAGGATGGGTACTTAAATCTCCTAATTTTTTATAAAGATTTTCCAAGTGAGCATGTGATTTCCTTGAACAATTCTTAATTCTTTTAGACAGGTACTCAAGCTTCCTCGAATGGATATTTTAGAAAAATTTTACCCCCAACATCATTTTGTTATACCTTTGCAAGTGAAATCAGCGAAGTCGTTGATGACTAAATGGCGAAATGAAAGACATAATTTTTTTTTTTCTAAAATTTCTGATTTCCTTAGATAAATTTAAAAAGGAAGTAAATGCGGAGAAATAGGGTTTAGTTTTGGGTTTGGCTGGGGTTCAACTGAGACAAAGTGGCTTCCGCGTGAATGAATGATGTAGTTTAGTCTTGCTTGTGGTTCGAATAGGGAAGACAGGGTTTCAGTTTAGGGCAGTGCGATTTGATTTCCTTCTGCGAACAAGAAGACACTGTGTAATGAATGAAAATCAGAGGAAGAGTAAGGGTTTTTGGCGTCAGTCTTGGGTCATGTGAATATGGGGAGGAATGGAGACTTATCGTGCGAGTTGGTGTCACGTATGCAGGGATTAGAAGGATTTAGTGGCTTCGCTTTTGAATAGGGAAAAGAGCAGATGTCTAGAGCATCTTTCCTGCATGTAAGTGAGGCAGAATGGGGAGGAAGACTGGAGCGGTTTCAAACTAGGAAGAACGGGTCGGGAGCGTAGCTGAAGGAAAAGATGGAAATTTTGGTTATCTTTGTACGCAATGATCCCTTCATTGGTTTCAAGAAGAAGATGAGGGCGTCAGTACAAGGAGAGTAGGGCAACAGCTAGGGTTCGTGTGTAATGACAAGGAAGTTGCTAAGACAATCGAGAGGAAAAACAAAGGTGAGGGCTTCACCGATTTTGTTGTGTGCGAGTGACAGAAGTGGGAAGAGACTTTGTGCGGCTTTTGAACTGAAGGAAGAGGATGAAGCGGAGAGGAAACATCGGAGATGAGGGCTTCCTATCTGTTCGAAGAGGGAAAATGGGAACCTAAGGGAGTGACATGCGAAAATTGAGTCGTTTAGGCTTTGTGGTTCAAACATAACCAGGGTAGTCTTGCCCAAAAGGTTGCCATCTGTGAGTAAATGTGAGTAGGCTTGCAAGATGTAATTTGACATGCGGAGAAACTCAAATTTAATTTTAATATTAATTATGTTTAATAAAACCTAATTAATAACATTAATAATCTTGAATAGTAATAATTTTTTTAACGTCAATAGTGTCATTTTGGTTTTGTTGATAGTTAGAAGGATTTTTGTAACACTTGTATAAAAAATGAGGGAACAACCTAACATAGGTTCGATGCCATCAATTCTTGTTGTTATGCAAGGAAGACAAAGACGAGGGACCGATTTTTTGTTATGAAAAGGAGAGAGTGAACCAGTTAACAAGGAGACAAAGTGTAGTAGAAAGGAATAAAAACCTAGTGGGGGGGGGGTTGAAGGGGAGGAGATGAATTGAGTGGGAGGAGA